CACTTAAAGTCAAGAAAAAACTTTTTTCTGCAGCAAAATGACGTTTTCTTGCTACTTGCTAAATTCAATTATAATATTTTACAATTCCTAAGCTATTTGCGGTATGTWGTAAGCATGTATCAATCAAGAGCGATTTTCATTGGATTGTCAAAGGGCTACTTAGCTAATAGATTCTAGTTGACCCAAATTCCATTGCTTTCCCTCGTTGAAAACTGCTTATATTATGCTAACTCACTAAMAAAGGAGATTTGAATTATGACTGAATCATTTAAATTCTATATTAATAATTCCGAGGTAAACACAATGGAAAATCCATTGTCATGACCGAGTTTTTATATGTGAGTAAWTGATTTGTCCTGATTTGCATAAGACTTTAACTTTGATTTTTTTATTAGACACGTACCCAGTCGTTTCTATTACTGGTTTTTCGGGTCGCGGTGCATCAAAGAAAGTCCGAACGACTTTCCTTGATCCTTTGCGCGCGCCAGAAATAAGAGTAACGACTGGGAACTAGTCTGATTTTCCATTTGAAATTTTAGCAAAATATGCTTTAGCTTATGTTGGGATTTGATAAGCAGTATAGAATATTGGCGTCCGTCCTTTGTGGGCTTTAGAACTCGATTGGCGTCCGTCCTTTGTGGGCTTTAGAACTCGGCTCCGCGCTTGCAGTTCGCAGTTTTGAAGGCCCATAAACGTCTTCCGCTCATATTTATATATATTACATATATTATGGCTTCCTACCCCATCAAAGACGACCAAAAACCACTTTAATTCTTATCACTAACTGACTTTAATAGCACAATATTCGGCAAAATCCGTATAATCCGSGACTTCATAGTTCAAGCCTCAAATGTTTTTAAAATATATTAGTCGGCTGCCTTTGTAAAAGAGTACAAAGGCGAAGTCTGGCCAAAATGCAGCCTGAGGCACGTTCACGACCAAAAAACAACAAGCAAAAGCCACAAATTTAACTCGAAAATTGCGCGGAAGTCAACAATATGTCCGACGTCGTTTCGGTTTCTTTACCATGCGCACATCTAGAATGAGCTCGTTTACAAGACCTACTGGGCTGCATTGTCGGATAAAAAGCCGACAAATTATAACAACATAATCAAAAAAGTGGGTATGAAACTGTTGAGTTAGAGTGTGAGAAGCCGCAAYCATGAGGCAAGGCTTTGTTGATATGGTTTCAGAGACGTAATATKGGCCAGGGAGGGGATTTGTCGCTAATGAACTCCTATAGCCAAGGACAAGAAAACACGATTGGAAAAGTTCTTTTCGTAATATTCTGTACCCATTTTCCAAAATACGTACAGTTGTGAAGTAAATATAAATTATAAATCGTTAAAAGTACGAGAAGTAACATGCTGATGTTTCAAATGTTTTGGACGTAACTCCTCTCCAAGTTAATTATCGAACGTGTGTCCAATGTACAATATCAAGCCTTCATTACCTAGCAAAGCTGTTGAAATTAAATCAAAAAATTGAAAGGCGATTTTTCCATAGAAAAAATGCTTTATAATAAATAAATATATAAAGAGCTATAGGGTTGCTCAAAATATATATGCATTTATCTGAGTATCTATATTTTTTKGGATCTATTGTGCCTTGGTTTATGACGAACGTAGGAAGGGCAGTGGTTGACCCTACTTCCGTTCGTTAAGTGGGCAAGGCCAGTAAAACGCGACTTCTAGACGGAAAATTGTAAGGAAGTATCCCACAAAAACAAGAACAGCAGCCCTCACGTAGGTATGTATTGTTTATCAAACGTGTTTACAACATATTTGTATGCAAAAAAACGACGCGAAGACCTAGAGAGGAATGCAATGTAGGGACTATGTATGTCACGTTATAAGGAAGTGAAAGACTKTTTTAGCCCTAGGCAAAGCAACGCTCTCGCGCTCCGTGTTTGTTTATTCCTTTTTGGCAATATATTTTTTCTCAGCCAGCTAAGTCAGTTCTTTTTGCGTCCAAAAGGAATCTAGAAAGTAAACTAGTTCCTTTCTAAGTGATATACTGCATTAACTTAARTAGACATAAAAAACGAAATAGTAATAATAATGCTTTTGCCATAAACAAGACGTCTATTATAGCGTTAAAATAGTGTACATGTTGGCTTGTCTTTTATTGTSATAAACTCGAAATTTTATGAAACAAAATAAAACTTTGTGAAATACAGTAAATACATTATCGCTCACAGACATTTACGAGATGTCGGGTCTYTCAGGTCAATTAGTAGGAAAGCGACTGTATGAAAACTTCCGCTGGCCCCGATAACAAACAGATTGACTTGCTAATAGACTAGTTATATAACAATTGAAGTGGGCATGTATTCATAGTAACGCTCCGAGAGTGTTTAACTCATTACCTTGAAAGCAAAAAGATATTAAAGTGGTTCCAAAAATCTGTGAAATAGATATTGAATTTATATTCATTTGTTTTTGTCAAACACGTGAAACAAAGCAGGATAATATTCAAAGTATGATGCCGAAAAAACGAGGAAATTTGTACAAAAGCGTAAAGAGTACTAAAACGTTTTTTTTTTTTTTTCAAAAAATATATAAAAGTATAAAAATAAAAGTAACTCTCTTTATATCTATACATAACTTCTATGATAGTTGCATATATTCTATTTATGCCTATTAAAGTATTACAACTAGTTTATTGACCATTAAATTCTGTTTCAGTGCTTCCTGGGACCAATTTTACGAAGTTTAGAAGAGCTCTCCAGGAGACACTAGCATATCCATCGAATGAAACCCATCCAAAATTGTTAGAGTGGATAACTTTACCCATCTATCATTCAGCCCTGACATTATTCACATAGATATAGTCTTTTTTTACGACTGGATTATCAGTCAAGCTCATAAAGAAATTGTTGTATTAGAAAGTAGGCTTGACCTGAAAGCCCCTGTCACGGATTATCTTGCAATCGAATTAAGCTCACAAAGTTTCCATTCATTAACTCATAATTCAAATTCTTCTTGTAATATTTGYAAGATGTACAAATGTTTGTACAACTTTTGTATCTTTTTACGCCCTTGACTGCCTAAAATTCTTGGGAATTACGTATTTGTTGTGTTTACCGCGCAGGATTAGTAAAGGATTGTCCATGGACTCTGTAGGCACTTGAAAATACGACGACCTCCTACGCYAGCACTCCTTCTTTTTTCAGTCGTTTTTTTACTAAAACTTCCAAATAAAGCTAAGTCCATTTTTAGCTTTAAGCAAAGAAAATATAAATGCGGAATTATTGACTGATCATTTTCTGCAGTAGAAAGGAACCATTTAAACGTTGTTGGTTATGTTAATAGAGTGTTTCCGTTCCGTTAGCGTTACGTAGCATTACGTGACTATGACACGCTTTTYTCGGTCTACTGCTCATTCATTAACTGCATGACGAGGTATATGTCACTCAACTATATCTAGAGAAGCTAAACCGTCGAGAAAGTAGAACGTTATAGCTATTGTTAGCTTGTTAGGTTTTTTGTTATTTACGGTACAACAGACTCGAATTTTGCGATAATCTGTTAAAATTGTCAGTCAATCGGAAAGCTTTTMTTAGGTAGCTTTAATTGAATTCTATACTTTTAGTGAAATCTCTCTTTCAATGTCATTTGACAATTTTTAAAGCTGTTTTCTACATGACGGAGAAGTTTGAAAGTTTGAAAGTTGGTTCAAACTCAGTGGATGATTTTTACGGCGATTTTTTGCTGTGATATTTCTGGCAATTTTCAAGTACAAGTTAATTCTTGAACATTATTCAGTAGGATCAGAATTAACCGTCAAAATCGGCAGTGTGATCCGGAATTGAAAGACACTAAATCCTATAAAGCTTTTCAACTCATTTTTTTAGAATAATTTACACACTTTAAGTACTTACTTGATTTAATCTGTCGTTTTTTATCTTTTTAAATCGTCTTGGACAATTTTTCCACGTGTATAAATGATYTAATATTCCAAATGACTGAACAGTAAAAAATAAAACTGATAAAGTTGTACTTGTTTCTAGAAAAAATATCATACTTGCAAAAGAATCCGTTGYAACTTTTCGACTCTGACTAGAATTCGCAAAATTTCAGTCATCTGCAGAGAATCCGGAGTTTTCTTTTCGAGGTATAAATCATAAAAAGGTATAAATCATAAAAAGACTACGACAGCCAATATCACCTTGTTACGAAAGTAAGTGAATAAAAATCACCAAAATAGGACATTGCAKGAATCAAACTCTTGGCCGCCATGAAAAGCGGTCATATATGTCTACGTAGAGTTGTCGTATCGTAAGTGTATCAAAATGTACTTCATTCATTAAAAAAATCCTGGATCTTAGCTTGAAACAAAGGAACAAATTGTTCAAAATGTTTGGATAGCTTATTGATGACGAATATCATGTTTATTTGAYTGAAAAGAAAACGCTTTTTTCGCTGGGTAAATTGACTTCAATTTAAGCAAAGAAATTTGAAACAACGAAAACAATAYAACATCACAATAAAATAGCAGTTTAAATTGTTTTATTTAGAGTATTTAGACTGAAAAAAGCTCTTAATCCAGAACTAATTTCATATTTTTGAAAACATTTGTTGCGCTGCCCTCGGCCAGAACAGCGTGACGGGGTGTCTACGCCTACAGGAGAATACATCTAAAAAATTCTCTCCTCTTTGTRATAAACTTCCTTTTTGGTCACAATTCTTACGTACAAATCGGAAGGACATCGGGATTATTTCGTAAATATGACATGACTAGTATCGGATCGCACAGCTTAAACGAGCCCTGAAGTCGGAATCTAACATTACATCAGTGGGCTGTCAGGATAAATACTCGTCGTCCCAGCGAGGACTTCACTAACTTTACAACACTCAACGAGTACACGTGGATGARATAACATCGTAATCCGTCGGCGAAAAGTACAAAAAATGGCTRAAAGTGTACAAATTATTGTKTTAATGATTGCTTTTTYGATGTAAGTAGTCTAACAATAGTTTTTGAGTATAAAATGYCCACATATTAATGTTCTAGTTTTTACGATGTTCTAGATGTCTGGTGGAATCTTTCACTTTACCAAGAACGCTTAAAACTACGGTGAGTACACTTTTCAACATAACACAGTTCATTATAGAACATTTTGCATAAACAAATAATTTAATTTTGATAGTTTAGTTTTTTAAATGTTGATTTAGAATTTGAAGTTATTCTAGTTTAATTGAGTTGTATGAGTGATCTTATTATTGGCGCTGGGAAGTTGTTGATCAGAAAAGGTTTGACCTAATGATATTGAATTACCAAGTAGGCAAGTTCAAGATTAGTAAGGGAACATTTATCCGGTTGTTCGAATAAATCATTCGTTAGCTCAATTGACTTTTAAACGATAGCTTTTGGAACTCTCTCAAAATACTCAATAATGCATTATTTGAGGGGYAATAATACAAAGCTGCTTTTCGAGAAACTCAGTCCTGCCATATCTAAACCATTGCAGTTTCTAGTAAAATACAGATATACAAAAGGAGTCAACAAAATAGAAAATGACTTTAACAAAATATATATGTGAAATATTGTTGAGAATTTTTAACGCGAAAAGGTCGGGAAAATAATTTGAAAGCTCAAGGATCCCGCGMGTATGGATTATAATGACATCGTTCTGGAGAGCAAGTCCATATAGCCATACACATAAACAAATATTTACTTTGTAAAATGCCGAGACATTGSAAACAGGTAAACGGCTTGCGGCGTTTCTTCCTTACCTGGGTCGACGATTAGCTCACGGAAGTATTTTGGTTTTGTACACTGTGTTGCCGGCTTTTTTGTAAATGCCGCGACTGTCTGCTTGTACACAATAACATACTCAAAGTCTATGCGTGACGTCATACAGAGAAGAAACGAAAATTTACGAAATAATAATTGTAAACAGAGAAACATATATAGTATGTAAGTCGAGAAGAGAAGAGAAGAGAAGAGAAGAGAAGAGAAGAGAAGAGAAGAGAAGAGAAGAGAAGAGAAGAGAAGAGAAGAGAAGAGAAGAAGTCTCAGACAAAAAGAGGAAAAGCGAAGAAAAGAAAAGCTAGCGGAGATTTACAAGAATTCTTCAGATCATAACTCGACCCTTATACCCATATACCGTTGTTATCGAGCGATAACGAARAAATAATTGCCATTTTCCTGATTATATTAGCGGCTATTCAAKGCCATGACCACAACAGCGTTCTTGGCAAACTTTACATCAAAAACACAATAGTWAKAGTATGTTCACAGTTGGGTATATTAGAGACAAAGTTGGCTTATTCATACAGTTTAACCACAACTTTACCAAACCCATCATCAAATCATCGATATTATCATTACCTTAAAACCTTTGTGGATGAAAGGGATCCGGAAGCGTAGGAGGATATCTGCGAGCGTTCCCTTGAGCCTTTGTCCTGCTTGTAACATTTGTCAAAGTACATTTTTCAACACAGCAGCGGAACGCTTTAAACAAACGGAAGTGAAATTACCGCTGACGTGGGGACGAATCCTACTTTATAGACAAAGTAAAGCGAAATGCATTACTAAAAAAATTGCATGGGAATGTTATCAAAAAAAGGGTCAGTAGATGTCATCGACGAACTTTTAGATTCTTTAAAACAGTCTCAGTCTGTGGCTGAAAAAAACCCTGAAATCTAGAAAAAAGAAAAATATTCAAGAAATTTGCAGAGCTTTTTTTAATAAAAAATCACCGGTCAGAGGCTCTTCATGTTCATAAAAAAGGTACACCAAATTAACCCATGTATAGACGACAAACACTAAATTCTTGAACAACTTCAGCAATAAGATAGCGCTAAAKTATACTGAAGTGAGGTCAAAAGACCCGTGAAATTAGATATTACACCACTTCACCTAAGTTCAGTGTTCTAATTCCACTGTTTTCTTTCGTTGGCTATTTGACTAGTCAGTTTTTATTTCACAATTTCACAGGTTTAATGACTTTATTCTAGTACTTTTTCACGCTTTTCAGTGCTTGTACTCTACTATTGAAATAGCAATGATAACGATTAATTCTTAAAAACGCATATTACAAGTTCTCAATGGCGTTATTACATTATAGGGAATGATTAATTGTTAGTAAAAATGGTATTGAAATGGGATATTTTTAATTTTCCAGTGCAAATTTCGACTAATCAAKACCAAAAAACTTTAGGGCTCTTTAGCCGTCTGCATTCAATACGGGGGTTCGGTGTCTCAAACGGGCCTAGTCTATATTCCAAAGTCGGATAAAAACCACTTTTCATGTTTCGACGTGTGCGATGATGCCAATCGAGGCGATGCGGTCAATTGCGGACATAATTCTGTCAGTATGTTATTAACGAAAGCCCTTTGAATTCCCGGCTTTGGCGGTTAGTCCGCGTCTCTGCGATTACATTTTACTTCGACGACAACTGAGTTTTGATATGAGCAATTCAAGTCAGAACTGATCTTCAGCCCATCCCACATGGCAGAGTGCACTCTTTGCATTCATTTATTAATTGAATTCATTATCCTCAGGTTATTTCTATGAATGGACTACAACCTCCTCAAGTGACAAAAAAAGGTATAAATATACCCCAAAACATCAAGCTTTACTCAAGAAATAGCCACAAGCATATACGATTGCGCATGTCAGGAGTAGATGGAAAGGGACTGCGTACAGATTCTGACGGTAAGAGTCTGAGAAGTTAATTATTTAAAAAGCAGCAAGCATTTTCTAGCCGTTTTATTGCATTTTGCGGAGTTGTATTATAGTATAAACCAATTAATGCGTCAATATCCTGGCGTACGTTGCTGGTGGTCTGCGGTTAGCGCTAGAAACCYCAAGCTACGGTAGCTCACCGCACGTAAATCGCCTTTACACAAAGAAACTCTTGTATTTGAACTATTCCTTGCAGAGAAAACAAATGAGTCAATCGGTTGACAGTCTTTCCACTAGCATTATATGTGTCTTTTATTTGTCTAATGGGATTGACTCTTCTTCTCCTGTTGTTAAAAAATCACAACCAACAGCCATACCTTGCGAGCCGAAGCGCCATTTTAGGTGAACACGAAAATGGCGGCTTCGTATTTTTTCCTAAAGTGAGCGCGAATCGTCTTCCATCCTGCCAGTTTGGACAGAAATATCTTTAACTAAGTACCTCACAGGTATTATCAATCTAATATCATCTATTGTATGCTTGAAGCATTTCAACGTATGTAAACAATAACACGAGCGCGCGCTGTATTGTGGTTGGTTGGGATTCTTTGAATGCCTAGTTTGCATATAATCGCTTGAATCGACTCAATCGGCCAATATAAGCCCGTTACGAGCACACGTGCTAACCGAGCTTTGGGTGAAGCTGAAGATGATAAGGAATTTAAGACCTCGTCTATCTTTCCGCCCGTTGATAACATTTAGTAGCAAATTGCCCTGATAAAATGATGTGAAAAATATGCGCGAACGCAGGACTGCAATGTGGACTAACGAGACTTAAAGTGCATTGAATTTTAATTTCAAACGTTGACTTGCACATGCCGGCATCGTCATATACAATTATATGATAAATAGAATATTACATGGTCGCTTGGAGATACGAAGTTTATCTTAATTTTCGCGTTGGAAATCTCTCACTCGTTCGAGATCTTTTCAACACTCAAAGATATCTCCTTTCTCGATTCCATGATTCGTCACTAGTCCCCCATATTGGCGGTCGTGAACTGACGACATTTTGTGTCGTGTATATGCCACTGATTCCTATGTTAATTATAACTATATATGTTTGTTTTCAGCTCAATTAGTCCTCGAGTCTGTAGGATTTGGTGGTCAAGTACAGATCAAATCTTCTAGCGGTAAACGTTATCTTTGTGTAGCTGGTCACGGCGCTTTTATAGTCAAGGTATGTTGAACTGGTCCGTTAACATTGAAMTAGGTTATAAACAACCCAACTTTGCCCTTACAAAAATCTCAAGTGCATAACTAGCTTTCTCTTGATAAGTTCTTCTTGTCTCATTTACTTGCCACTGAATTAAAAAGAGAAAGATTGTTAACAAAAATATGCTTCCAGCTTAACAACTTTTCCTTGGCAAGCTTTCACTAGGACAATTTGTTCTKTTGCGCGTGCTTCATTTTAAAACCATTTTCAACTTTAGCATTTCGTTTCTTGTCATGCCCGTAAGGACAGAGGTTTGGCTAGTCAACAAGGAAAACTGCTTCCTTTATATCTGTCTTCCTTTTTGTTATATTTTTATTTCTTTGAGTGTTTGAATGATAGCTACTAAAAAAACCTGCTAAATCAATGTCTGTACTTCACGGATTGACGGTGCTTGAGATATGTTGCGCACTACCTGGCGCGCCATTGCAACTGTTAGCCGCTGACTGGCTGATACAGTTTGTTAGTTGATATAATTGGCTCATTATATAAGACATCTAGAGCCTATCAGAATTAATTTGCCACAAGAGGTTTTCTTGTTCAGKTAGCTTTTGTAACGGGAAATCCTCGAGATTAGTGAGCTATTTCGAGGTAGAATGTCAAGGTCAAACTCCTTGCTAAATCCGAAACTATAGTGTACACCGAGATATGCTTGCTGACATTATAGTGTTGAAATCATAAAGAATTGAATTTCAATTGCTTGCTTATCAAGTTGTCCTCAATATTGGCAATGACGAATGATTTGCAACAGGCGTTGCATCAAYCAGAGTTGTGAACAAGAAAATGGAATTCTTTTTTCTTCTCTATCACTTGATTGAACTTCGCRCTCTTCACGAAATTCACGAAAAAATTGTGGAACGTGGGTACGAGCATTGATTTATTGTGAATTTTTCATGCATCATAATATTCAACAGTCCATTTTAAAATGACTGTGCAACGTCACGGATCACAAGACCCAGAGTTCCAAACTGGTTCTTGCTAACTCAGGCTAATTATTCAGGACTAAATATTATAAAATTTCTTCCGTAAACCTATAGCATGTATTAATTAACCGTAACTACAGCGGCGTAACTGCCAGTTTCGCGCAGAACTACGCAAGATCTAACTGACTTTTTTTCTTCAGTTTTTCAAGAACCAATCACAGGCGCACATCGACCATTGCATCTTCATTCAAGGACAYTACAATGGTTACACGGTTTATAGAACAAAAGTACACAAAGACTGGTATCTAGGAATCAAGAACGACGGAAGATTAAAATCCGCAAAGAAGACATCAATAACGCAACGAGCAACTCACTTCATCGAAATATAAACAAAGTAAGACAGGACACCATCTGCTTGAATTAAGTATATTGACACCACCGCATATTGCGGAGATAATAGTYCCTAGTAGTGCCTTGAAATATTTTCATATTTGTGATAAATAGAGGATATTACATGGGCGCGCGGAGATACGGATTTTATCTTCGAGTGTTGAAAACCATTCACGAGTGAGCGAATAGCGATTTTCAACACGAGAAGATACAATTCGTATCTTCAAGCGACCATGTAATATTCTGTTTATCATATTATTATTAGCAAATTATGTTTTAAAATAACTTTTAATAACCTTCATTATATAGAGATACCACAAATGGGTTATTTTCTTMAGTGAAAATATTTTCACTAGTGAGAATAACAACTTYACGTTATGGAGAAATATAGGTATTTYATAGATAATTTTATGATAAAAAATGCTTATCACAAAATATGGAAATGTTTTTTTTATCCGAATCCAGTAATGCTTAATAAGGAAAAACCATTTTTAAGGGACGTAATCTWGAGGGTGTGGCATKGTGTKGTCCTTAAAGGTGCTGCCACCACTCCTTTACAAAACCTCATCGTTTCCTGTATTACCACGTCACTTAAGTTGCTCTATATAAATAGATATCTATTGATATCTGGGGAAAGTTAGTAAATCTATTTTGGTAAAGAATCATGGTTCTTATTAGACACACAGAGCGATATATTGACAGTGACAGGACAGTCAAGGATGACTGGCTTTTCTATACTTCTAAGAAGTGATGTTTATCCTTTTAGTTTTAGTATTACTGGATTCTAGTCGTTTTAGTAATAGTAATATACGTATTAGTGATCGTAATATAAGAGTAATACAGCAATATGCAGATTTATGATCTTTTTGACTCATATTCCAAGTACATATATAATATATCAGAAATTATGGGATATCATATGTTTTTTTYAAAGAAGTACTGGGCCAGGAAACTTTAAAAAGATATTGGTGATGATATCCCATAATTTCTGATATATTTCATTATATATACATGGAATTTGATCGAGTCAAAAAGATCCTAATTTCTGCTTATTGTTGTGATGTTATAGTAATAGAATATAAGAATAATAGGCCTTCTGCATGAAAGCGTCACATAATACTAAATCTGCCATACTGGATGCCAAAAGAATGTCAACAACCTTAAGTGAAAGGTCCTGAAACCATTACGAAAATATTTATTTATTTAAATTACATAAACAGAGCCTCATGAGTACCAAAGACTGTACAAATAATATATTTGTATATAAAAGAAAGATTTATTTATATATTATTATTATTATAGAAAACGAAGTATTCTTAAAAATATGATTTTTACAAATATTGTATAAGAGATTTTATCGACGAAAAAAGAATATTTGAATAAACTTATTTTGATAGCTACTGGAGTTTTGTTTTTTAACTATTTAAAGCCCACTTTTTTTTCTGMCGATCTCATCTTCTCTTGTACTCCCTTCTCTTATTTTGAGTATTTTTTGGTTTTTCTTTTTCTTTTTTCTCTTCGCTTTTGTTGACTATAGTGAGTCAACCTTGTGGCTTCTCCTAATAATAACATTTCTCTGACTTTAGATTTTTATTATTTTTTGCTTGTTTTTGCTTTTCCTTTTTCTATCTTTTCTGCTTATTTAAATTTCTYATTTTGCACTTTCCCCTTTACTCCTCTTTTCTTTTTTTTTCTCCTCCTCTGATCTATATTAGAGGGTCTCAATGGGGGGGGTCCGCATCACGACTCACGGCTGAAAATTTGACTTTTTCACGCCTCACGGCTATTTTTTTCTCATTTTCACGACTCACGGCTAATTTTTCAGCCGTTTGATCACGGCTATTTTTTTCTCATTTTTACTATTCACGGCTAACTTTTTAGCCGTTTCACGGCTCACGGTTAGCCCCATTGAGACCCTCATAGTACAGTGGCCGGTTGTACAAAGAGTGGATAAAGTTATCCATCGGTTAGAGTTATCACCTCCTTAGATTTTGTTCGGGATAAGGATTTATCGGGTGGATAGCTGTGTTCACCAATCGGTCTTGATAATTTTGGAATTTTCACATTTGGGTTTCCTGTGTTGCTGTCAATCATCTTCCTTTACTGACGCAATCAACACAACCTTCGCGGCGTACCTACTTTGGCCTAAAGTCCCTGAAACTCAATACAGTATAAATCTTCTTCGAGAATAAGAAATATTTAGTTAAACACGTAAAGAATCCCAAGAAGACGTACGTTCACGTGGTCAGAGCGTGATGTAAGTTGCGAACAAAATGATGCAAGATACGGCCGTCCCGCAATGACTAAACATGACCTACAGACCTTCCGCTACGAGTTGTGCCTAGCATCATGGAATTGCCTCAAAGACTCGAAACCCATCTCGAGTATACTATAACCAATTACCTAAAAATGGAAGGAATCGTGAAGTCGACATATTTTAACTTTAGTAAGGTGAGTGACGAAAGTTTGTTTATCTTGATTTCTCGACYTTGAACGCTCGCTTGCTATTTTACGAACAATAGATCTATTTGGTATAACAATATGTTATTGAATAAAGGTCTAAAAGCTGAGCCTAAATACRTTAAATGAGGCTTTAAGTAGAGTTTTATTCATTTAAAAGTATGAATCTTACGGAAACTTAGTTACAACATACGCCTCTCGGCAAGYAATCTCATTAACTGAACGAGACAATCTAATCCTTACGCTTTATTTATAAACTTGGATCGTGAATTACTACAAGTGCTGCTTAAATACCGCTTCTTTGGCCGTGTAAAGGCTTCTGTTGTAATTTTGACGTGAATAACAGCAAATTTGGACACAAAAATTGTTTAAAACGATTTGATATTTTCGACAATAGCGAGCATGTAAACAATAAGTGTTTCGCTCCACGTGAATTTCCTAATTGAAATTCACTACCTGTATCACCTAGGCAATCCTTTATTATTGAGTGCGGATAGTATGTTTTAACGTCAAGTAACCTTACAAGCGGAGGTCAGGACGATAAGGATATTTATTTTTTCTTTGAATTTAGAGAGGTGTATTTTTTCGACGTGGCAAAATAAACCAACGCTTTCTTCRAGCCTCGACAATAAATAAACACGTTGAACTGGTTTATAAACTCGTTTGATACAATTATGRTTTTGCTTTAGGAACGGCTAGATGCGAATTGAAATAAAATATAAGCAGTGAAGTTATAGCTGTTTTAATCTTCAGACTGATAGTACGGTATTGGTCTGTTTACTTACGATTGACTGAATCAATAGCCATTCGCTTGGTTTTAGCACGCCACGATTCTTTTAGATGAGACACCGGAAGTCTCATGTCATGCTATTGATCACGCCAGACACTAAAACAATCTTCGGGAACTGGATGATTTTCTTTTTCGAAATAGTAATACGATGCCATTGAATTTCATCAGCTATTAAATTTCTATCATCTCAAACATTTACGGCAGAAGTTGCTATTATTTTGCATGGACTAGCTTTTTTTATCCCCAACTCTTTGTTATAGATTTTTTGGATTTTAGCTTTGAAAATACTTTCATGCAATTGATTCATATTTTTACGTCGAATAACTGATATTTTCGCGTTGTTTTATACAGGGCGCGTGGAGATACGGATTGTTTTCACTAGTTAAATTACAACTTTTCGAAAGATAGAAATACGAAAAAATAAAAATCGTTCGCTGCAATTACTCAACGTTCCTTGTTGTTGGTAGTAGCCTGTGAATAAAGAATGGGGAAAGGGCTCCTATGGATACCTCTCCTCACAAACTACCTCCCATTCCCCTAACTTTAGGCCTGCTCACATGCTAATCATAGACCAAAGTGCCTTACACCTTTCTGCTTTTACAGCCAGTTTTTTTTTACCATTTTGAAAGGCATGTGTACTTATAAACAGACAATCTTTAAAGGCATAGTGTAGTCTTTAAATACAGCTTTTCAGTTGCACTTAGGCCTCGATAGCAAGTTAATTATTCTTTTGAATTTGTCAAATGAGACTATTCATATCAATGTTTGCATTGCTCACATTCCTACAAATTCAAAAGAATATTTAACACGCTGTCGAGGCCTAAGTGCAACTGAAAAGGTGTATAGTGTTTTCTTTTTGTCTTGTTTTCATTTGTTCTTTTTTTTAGTTTTGTTTTCAAATGTTTTTTTTCTTTCTTGAGTGCAAGTTCACATTATGGAACAAGCAAGCGTTCGTTCGAGCTTACATAATCGTGAACATCTCCTTATGTGAGTCGCAGGGATTCTCACTTTTAACATTTCAATATAAGCCCAAGAATCAAAAACGTATGAAACTGAGAATATTTCGTGATCTCACGTACAAACTTTGATTTTCATTCCCTTGCTTCAGCTTATGTTGTAGTGTATTGAACTTAAAAAAATTAAACAATTTCAGATCGTTAATAATCTATTTTATTTTTCCTTTCAGGACTTTTTACCATCCCACGTATTTCTAGATTTACCAAGTACTCATAAATAATGTTTTTGAACAATTCGTACTTCAATGTACTCCGTAAAGTTGACAAAAGTTGGGAAGAACGTAGGCACGAAAAAACTAAGACACCATTTTGGAAAAGACGATTTTCRCGATCTACCTCGTCTCAGTCTTCCAAATCCTACTCGTCATTAAGCAGTGACGAATCAGGGCTMTACAGTGCTGATATCAATTCGGGTTACTATGGAGATGATGAAGTTGATCCCTGTCCGAAATGTATTGCAAATACACCAGTCAACGGAATCAAAGCTGACATTGATGACTATGACGTCATTAGTATAGAGGTAAACGTACGCGAGAGAAAACGCAACACAACGCAAAAAAGCCAAACGTTAGATTTATTCAATAACTTTTACGATGATGAGTTTGTCGTCATTCCCTCGTCTAGAGAGGAGTTCTGTTCAGGGAATTTTAAACACAGCACCCCTAWAAAAGACTCTTCCGAACCAAAGGATAACCTTGTGACYTGTAYACCSAAAGTTGTAACGCCYGTCACGCAAACTGACGGTGGRTGTTCTTGCGTCACGCCTCAAAAACTTATTCGTTTTCGACTTTATGCGCCAAGGAGAAGCAGTAGTGACTCAGGAGTATGGTGGAGAGAGAATATTTCATGGCAGCTAAAGCAGCGTAACAAAACTCAAACGACAAACTTCGCGCAACTACAGGARCAGACGGCTAGTCATGCKAARCCCCGAGTACGAATCAATAGAGAACTTGCAGATTATCTCAATAAATACGCCGAGTTTCGGCCACATAATGATGAGCTGAACAAGGCGTTTTACGACGCTAATGCCATTGATAATGCAGAGATTTTACAAGCGATTCGCAGTCATAGTGGAATCGAYAAAACGACAAGACTTCGTGCCAATAGTGTCGCTCATCGTGCGAAGACATACATRGAGTCACAAAAGCAATCTAAGGAAGTAAAAGACACAGATGACGAGGGCAGCARTATCTCTTACTTAAGGAAGCGATCYCGATCGAAGCCARCCCAGTACCGCGCGGACCGACCCATAATGCCACGRTGGCGTGAAAGCATTAGCAGTCAACTAGAAATGAGGAACTTTTTAGAGTGCAAATACTTCACGGACGCCATAGTCAGGCGTAAACTATCACAGCTCAGTATCAGTTTCTCTCCAACAGCCTCCAAATCAGAAGARATTTTAACAGATTATGAYGTCATTACGGACGATGACGTCAGTACAGTKGTGATGACACGRAGCTCGACCAATAACAGTGAGTCAATTTCACAGGGATATCATAGCTCTCCCCCAGGGCCCTGTTCTAAAGATCCATCAGCATTTATTATTAGAGATTTAGATGCTATTTATGGTAAGAATCAGAACATAGTGAAATCATAGCGACATTAGTATTATATACTAAAATAAAAARCTTAGCTTAGACTTTGTTTACATGGAGCACAAGTTTGGGGTTGCCTCGGTTWTAGGACAGGTCCTGGCTGTTYACACATTATTYYTGCTGGGCAGATGAAGCCAGTTACGGTTTTCCCTAGTTCTTGTCCGCCTCCAAATTGGACGGGACTGAGGTTCCGAACATTTTCAGCTCCGCGTAATCACAGTCTAGCTTAGTATAGTCTACGCAAGTATTCTTATATGAAAATATTTCTCACTAGACCACTTGCAATTCGTGGGAATGAAGTTCCACCTGGTATACAAAATGATGGGCTCGTAGCTCTTAGAGTGCAGAAGTCATTTTGGTTTATGTTCCCCAGATGAATCTGAAGTTTACCGTGAATTGAAAGTGGGGATTATTTGTTTTTAGCCATTTCTATAAGAGTAAATAGAATAAGGAAATAGCAGTCTTAAACAAAGAGAAATCAATGTGGTTATCCACATTCAACGCAAAATCATGAGATTCGTGACTCGAATCGTTTGTAGTAAACATTTCTATAATACACGGACATATAATCGAAAGGTTTGCGTTTGTTTTCTTTTCTGTAAAAATGGTTATACGATTTTTATCTCRATCTACTTTTATTCATAATAGTCTTTTAAGACTATTAAAATTTATGGTCAAACTAAAAACATTTTATTAGCGCGAATATTTTGTAAAATTGTTATGGAACGACCGCACCAAGTGGCATGCGATCCAACGGTACAAAAAAAAAATGTAAATATAACAAATAATCTGAGGCAACACTAAATAATCWCTAAATAAAAACAAATTTACTTATTCTGAGCATTTTAGGATTTTTTTGTATGTCAGATCAGCAACTCGACCAAAATTGGTCCATATAGAACCTCTTCTTTTGTTAAACACATTTTTTTCCAAAATGAGTGTTGGATATATCACAGTACGATATATAAAACTATAAAGGTTATTTCATTGAGTGATTTTATTAATTTATTAACTAATTTATTTTGTGTTCATCTGAAATTTGATAATATAAACAGACTTACATCTAATTATAAAAACTTTGTCCTAAGGAAACGGACATTTGTACCTTAGTCTAAAAGGAACATCAAAAAGACAATGAAAAGGTTCAGGGCTAGTGATCTCTTCCTCTCTCTAGGAACATATTTTTGTAAATAATTATGTAGKTGTATACATGTACATAATTACAGAAACATTGTCCAAGAAWAAGGTAAAAACTAGMGGTGAACTAGTGTGAGCAGCGTCCGTGTTTYTAAAGAAACAGTTGTRAAAAAAGATAAATTGAACCGGCACCGTAAAAACGTAGGTGACTAAAACACCTTACTGACGTTTCGGACGTTAATTCTTTGTCTCTCAGCGACGAAGGATTAACGTCCGAAACGTCAGTAAGTTGTTTCACCTACCTTTTTACGGTGTTCAGGCTCAGTTTATCTTTTTACACAACTGTTCAAAAAAAATAACTTTTGCTAATTTAGGAATTGATTAAAATATAAAAGAAAGTGTTCACTTTCAGTGCTCATCTATTGTCCTTACTGTATTCCTAAATCACTAAGGCCCAGGACAACGTTTTTGTAAGTAGGTGTGTGCCTAAAATTATGTTTACTGACAAATATATTTTATCTATTAAGAAGCTATTTTATTACATTTAAGATTTATTAATCAAAATTGAGAATGAAATAAGAGCGATACTTTGTGTTTAGACTAACAAAGAAGCTCTAGGACTAATCCTGTAGGAACTATAAACCTAGTAATTTTGCGAGTTGTTTTCTAGTTGTCACATGAATAATAGAAGCTGAGACCCAAAGGTTACATGGAATATCACTGATAAAACTSTATATAAAATCATCGTTATGCTATTATATTAAAAACTTTTGTACAGTGTTTTGAAAGCGTGACTTCTTGGTTTCTGGGAAAAGATCTACCTTACCCTATGTCTACTACTAACWAAAGACAAACGGATCGCCCTGAATATCTTCTCTGAGGGTCCTTATTTCGAGCCAGAAATTTTGCGATGGACCTTGTTCACTGCTGCGTCTCAGGATTTCCTCCAGGCAACGAAGGTAATGCTCTTTATAGCCCAGCTCTTAGCTTGTATTTTTTTATACATTAGAGCACCATCCCTTATTATGATAAATCACGATAAATGACGATAAAATATAATATTCTAAAGTGATTGTCCAGAAATTGAACATGAAGTCCTGAAACGAGGATGTGCCTTCGAATATCTTAGTCACAAATTCATTTAAAGTAATATTAATTATGTATYAATAAAACCGGTATAACTTATTGTTTGTGACATCAGCACCTTTCTTCACATTGCTTATATCTTTCTTGTCAATTGACACTTTCTTCTTTTTGAAAGAAACTCAATATAAMTCAATTTTTAGCTAATGCTCCATTTTTTCCGTTGCTCCTGTTTYCTTAGCCCCGCAGTAGGTATATTTCACTACCAATTCAAAATTGATGTTCGGAATTTCAACGCATCCTTTGCGACAGAAAAAGGAACAGAGAAGGACGTGCGTAGAACAACAATGTGCAAGGCCACGAAATGTGCCTATTCTGCTTATTACTACAAATCGAGAATTTGCAGAGGTAGACAGTACTTCTTCATAAGCTGACGGGTTCTGGCAACTTCTGATGAGAGGAATMCAATCTATTTTGTGTTCAAAAACGACGTTATCATATCATTATTGTCTTCCTTTCTTGTCTCATCGGGGTAAGTATATCTATATTTTACCTTACCACAATCTCTAACTAAGTCAAAAAAAAAAAAAATTGGAGGCCATAGATTCAATCGAAAATAACAAGTATCTTTTCCCGGCATATAATAAGTTGTTTACATTCGTGCGGGATCCCTGTGCTTATAGCTTTGGTCTTCCTGTTTCGATTTGATACCATATTTGGAAATAAACAAGTTGGCAGTTTGTTCAAATGTCATTTTGTTATAATATATGAAAAGTTTAGATATTTGAAGGATTGACGGAAATTTATTTATGTATTTTTATAGCTAAGAAGAATTCAAAGTGCACTGGAAATATCGATCGATAAATTGCAATTCTCAAGCAAGTTAATAGCTGTTAAGTAAAGCTTCATTAAACTCCAATTCCTTATTTATGAGATGCTCTTGATATTCAAAATTTAATTTAATTAGTGACAAATGATATGTATATGTTTCCTTATTAAATTGCTTGTTAAATAAGCCATAGTTTGTACAAACACTTATAAGAGTTATTTTGGACGAAAACTCAGGGTGAGAGTATTTCAAACATATACATGCTAACGATATAAAGAGGAAGCTGCCTATTAAATGAAAAATATTCTTGTTGAATTTAGTAAGAGGCAAAAATATGTCCTTTTTCTACAGAGAAGATTTTTTTCTTGAATTTAGGTTTTAATGGAAACCTTGGATATTTGCAGCTCCTGCAGGGCGCTAGGGCCTCGTTTCCATTTCTTTGTTTTCACTTCACTTCCGGCTTACATCGTAAGCATCTACCGGGACAATTATTGAAATTAAGACAATTCATTGTCTTGAACTCATATAGCCCCTTACTTGAAAGGATCGACAATTGCGTTTATTAAGGAAACGACATCGAAGCCATAGTGTCTTTACCCGAATTGATATATTATCAAAGTTCATCCTTCCAAAATCCCATGGCATATTAAATTTAGAAATGCAATTGTTCTCCGATTCGTAATGAACTGCCAACAAAATGTCAATATAACCTGCGATTTTGTTAATTAGAATAAACGAAGACTAAAAAAAAATATATAATTTTTTTTTAGAATTTTAACGAGCTTAGTAGAAAAAAATAAGTTCCCTTTTAATACCCTACTCAAGATTACTGTTTTCAAGAAAATTTTATATTTTTGCATACATGTTTCTTCTTATTTTTTTTGTCCTTGTTTTTGAATGTTTATTTAATTATTTGATATCAATAAKCTATAAAGTAAACCCTTTTGATTGCAATGTAATTAAAGAGTTGTCATCCATGAAGTAAATACCAGTAATTATAATCATAAAGTTAATTAGGATCATTTATCGTTGGCTCATTTACATTCTCTTTCAAAGCAAGCACCTTGTCTTCACAAAGTAAGTCACTTTTTTACTCTTACTTTCTCCCTCTTAAAATCAATACGATGAAAATATTATCAGTCAATTCTTTGTCTCAATATCACGCTATTCTCCCTTTTCATTAAGGAAATCCATTTGAAATCACTGGAAATCAATACTAAAAGTATTCGTCGATTATGAGTGCTATTACGACTAAGCTCAAATACGTTTTCGGTACTTACAGAAAACCCCAAAAACAATAAATTTCCAACTATTGAAACTTTTAATCACTTWTCAAGAAAGCAGATGCATTCGAGCTAAAAAAACTGAGAATCTTTTTGTTCCCCACCTAACACCATCTTTGATCTTTGATAGTGAAATGTTGTTGTTTATTGTCTTTCTTCTTCTTTTCCTCCGCTTGCGGWATTATTCTGCTTCACCTCAGTTCACTTTCTGCCTTTCAATCTCTTTCCCTTTTTTGATGGAACACACGATTGAATTATATATAATACTTTTTTCAGAAACAATGGCTCGGCCATCTAAAAGACTGGCCTTGTTTCTTTGCTTAATTGTTCTTCATCAAGACTTCATCCAGGCTCGTATCAGCTACAATAAGCAAATTGACATTTCAGCATCTTCAAGATTCAGGCCCCGTCGCTCTTCCTTRGGTATKGCTATTTRATTGATRTGAATTCCATCTCGATTTTGCACAARGTAAAGYTTAGTGTTGTTGTCATTTGCTTGTAGACATACTTGAGGAAGATCGCCATGAGTTAGATCAATCGATACAAGAAATAGAGGCCCGACATGGTAAGTCGATAGATTAGTGGAACAACTATATAATTGACTATCAAACTCCATTTGACGGAAAGAATGATTTTGATTACTTATTAGGAGTTGTATCACAGATCATATATCTAAAAGGGCTTCTTATTATTAAGGTTTTTCGATGTTTACCTGAGCTGGTGTTATTTTTCAAACCGGTACCATCTAGGGTGCCTTTGACATATTACATATTACATATTATATTATAGTAAAAACAGCAATGAAAAAATTCGTTTTTTATATTGTTCAGCTAAGTCTCATTACTACGATAAATTCGAAATAGACCATAACTTTCTCAACTTTTATCGGTAAAAAATATAAAACTCCGCCTACCTTTGCGTCTAGAACCGTGCAAGGTATTTTGTGCTGAATTGTTCATTTTCAGAGAAAAAGCCAGTTATCAATTATTTTTCCAATCTTGGTGCATGTAGAATGAATAAAATATTTTAGAGGGATATTTGTTTGGAAAGAGAGAACCTGGTCGTCTACGTACTTTATACTTATTCATGATGATGTCGAGATATCTGCTGACCAARTTGCCGCAATTGCCCAAGATAGGTGTACTTGGAGAARTCTTGTAACCGTCTGACAATTGTATCATTACTTATTTTTCAGGTATTTCTCTCAGATCTCATCTTGGAAAACCACTCCACAGAGACAGGCGTACGTTTTATCCATGTTATATTGCCCTACATTTTCATATATTAGGCATTGCCATAAAAGCGCAGTGAAATAGAGTTACTGTATGTTGTTCCCCAGTTTCCCTTGCTCTCTTTGTTTTTTCTTAGGTCTTTGGTCAAGAAAATCTGTTGTCAAAAAAGCAGCGGGTTTTCGCTTTGAATTCGCATTGTTCCAGTGTGACAAGCTAGAATAATGATAATGTAACTCCACTCGATTCTTTATATTTAATGTTACCCCCAAATCTGCATATAATATTTTTTCATTTTGGTACTTTCAAATGTCTTCCAAATTCAAAATAATGCCAGGTGTTTTTTCGTTTTCAGGCTTTTTCTTTACTTTTCTGTTTATTGTAAGCATTGTTGTAACTGTTGCCGCTACAGCGGTTGAGACAATTTATGACATCGCTGGCTGCTGTGGCCTTGGCTTTAGCTATCTATGTGGATTCGAGTCGGACTTCAATGACAGGAAGGCTAGATTAAGCGGTGAAGCTGAAAAGGTTGACAAAAGACTTGAGGACGGTAAAGAAATATGTATTSATCATGTATTCAGTTATTGAAACTATCATAATGTTTAGCATAAGCACTTGATCTTCTTGAGATGGCAATAACACAAAACACATACCTGCATATTTTATTGACACTTCATAGATTGAGATTCGAACAGTTAAAAGTTTACAATTTCAAAAAAACATTCTGTCAAACAGAATTGCCGATATCATTATTATTTTTTCCTAGCTCTGAAAAAACGAGACGACTTGGAGTGCCTTTCTGAAGTCGTAAAGGCCACGTGGACTAGTATCAACGAATTGGTCAAGCTTCAGGAAGAACTTCTAGGAAATGTTGATACTAATTTCAAAAATGAAATGCTACGAAGTGAAAGAAAAGCAAGGGTATGAATTTCAAAAATTGTGTATAATAGCCATTTTAATATAATCAAATTGCTTTACCTGCTGTATGAATGCTTGAAGGGAAAGTTTTACCCCAAATATTATCAAAGTGAAAGAGATGAAGTACATATATAACTTGGAGTGGAAGTATACTTTTTTCGACTTTTTGCTATGTTAGTATATACTTACATGTCTTATGCCTTTTTACAACATTTGTTTTACCCAAACGAATGTACCTTTGCATAGTCTTCAATATCAAGAGAGAAATTTGAGATAAACAATTTTTATAGCAAACAATCGAAGAATCTAAAGAAGAGCTCAGTGAGAACGATGTTTCAGCCATGTTTGTGAAGATACCGCGAGAAGAGCTAGCTTTGAAATTGTCTCTTGGGTGGGCAGCGGCCGCTGTTCCAGGAATCGGTTTAGCAGGAAACAAGGCTTATAAATCCTACAAAATAAACAAGGTATCAAAATACAAATCGTAACTTAAATTTACAAAATAATGCATAAAAGATGTTGTCCTTGTTGTAGGCTTACAAGGTACTCAAAGCAACCAAATATGAACAAGTTCTGAAAAGTGCGCCCAAAGCTAGAAAGCTGATTGGCTTCACCGAGAGCTCCGCGAAGTTGTTCCTCAAGAATACAGCCGTCCTTAAGTTCAGCCAAAAAGCCGGATCGTTTTTGAAAGCAATGAAAGTGTTTAAAGTGGCAGGAGCAGTCATGTCAGTCATCAGTATTGGTTAGTTCTCCTGTATTCAATCGATTTAAAAAATATATCTTCATCTTGTATATCATTTAGTAGTAACTGAAAAAAACGGCTTGAATCTCTTGTAGATGGTAAACAAATATAAAATTATTGCCAAGAATGCGTRTACGCATATTCTTTTAGAAATTAATAAATGTGCTTTCAAAATTGGCAATAAGCTGCAATTGATAAGACTCCATGTTTTCATGTAGCTCTAGATTTGTTCAACATTATCAGTACTTTTATCGCCTGCGCTGAAAAGAGGGACAATGCCAAAAAATCATGTGGYAAGCTTCAAGAAGCTGAAACTAAAGTTACAAACACAAGAAATAATGTGATTGAATTCGAAAACATTCTCAGAGATGGGGTAAGATTGATATTCTGTCGTAAGTAATTACACACACATTCTTTYTTGATAAGAATATGAAGAAATTAGAATATAGCTATCAGAAAAATCATCTGTTTTACCATTGTAATTTAAAGATTAAAATTCAAAATAGTTTCTGCGAGGCAGTAGAAAATGCTTATTATTAAATTTAAAGTATTCGAGAATTTCGTTTGTTCTAGATGGAGGCTAAACTGATGGAAGAGTTGAGAACCTACAATTTTCAGAGTGCCTTAATCCACATCAAAGAAACAATAGAAGGACTTCCACCCCCTCCAAGTGACAGAGAAAGAGACTTTGATACGGCTTATTGCGTAAGAACAATCCCAGAATTCCTCGAGAAAGTAAACGCAACTGGTGTGCCAATAGCAGATATCAAAGATAGAATGCTAGATATTGTTGATAACTGTATAGACAAGCTGAAGTTCTCCTATGAGTGCTTGAAAACAAGACTTCTAATGAATTCTCAGGTAATTAATAGCAAGCCCTTCATCATGAAAAATAATATTACAATAAGGAAACTAACTATAATTTTAGTGAAAACGTTATGTGGACACTTGTCACTTTGATTTTTATGTCAAAAATGTWTGGATAGTATCTTCTATAGACAATCCAATCAGCAGGTCGATTTTCATTGTAGATCGTCTCAAGCTGTAGGAGTGGAACATATACATTTGATGAGATTTACCAGCAACAAACCGATATGCCAGCAAACAAATTGGTCCTGGACAAGTGCATTAGCAAGGGTGAGCCATACACAACTAAAGAAATGTTCAAAGAATCACTGGAGACTGCAAGCAACCAAGCAGGCATGGAATTCTATACTGAGAATTGCAAGATGAACAGCCAAACGAATATTGGAGATATTTGTGAAGGAARCAGYGTTTCAGGACTAACACAATCACAAATACAGACAGTGACAACCGAGCAGTGCAAAGGCGGAAAAGCACCAAAAATCAGCGCAGATAATCGAAAGGAAATTTGTATGTCTCTGATGTTTGGCACTCCTGTCGACGAAATCATCGAAGAAAAGAAGGATACAATTTCAGGCCTCACAGCTGATGATATCAATGGTCTTAATTGTAATACAAAGTAGCCATAAGGAAAAGATTGTATCATGCGCAATGATCTAGACTCGGATTATGATAATGAGAGAATTTCTGAAGCCTAATGATATTTAAGTAGCTAGGGGTTATCATTCAAATGAAACTGCATGCATTACATGATATATGTAAAATGTCCAAATAAAGAAAGAAGGTGCACCACACCAATGCAATTCTATATTTTCTTGTGCGTCTTTGAACATAAACCCAGTTAATAAAAAAAAATTAACTCCAATAACATGAACAAAGAACAATATAATTCGACAAAAGTGATTTTTGAATGCTGTGATATTGATAGCGTCTTATGGTTTATTCACCTTGCTATTTGGTAAGTTAACGTCAGAAGCCTTTTTGAAGTTGTTTCGCATTTAGGAGGTTTTCTTGATTTTCTTACTAGCAACACTCCAGGTTTATGTCTGATTTCTATTGGTACAAGTATATAGTTAAGTAYGCCCAAAAAGCCAAAAGATTGATCGGATTCACCGAGGACTTTGCCAAGTTCTTTCTCAAGAACACATCAGTCGTTAGTACAGTTAACAAGCTGGATTATTTTTGAAAGCAATGAAAGTGCTGAAAGTTGCATGAGCAGTCTTGTCGCTAGTCAGAGTATTGGTGGGTYCTTCTCTTCATATTTGCATTGGATCGTCTTRTGTCATTTGTAAAAACCAAAATCAAGTGTCAAAATGTCCTATAGGCCTACATGTCCAATCGATTGTCCAAATTGTAGTCACGTTGTTTTGACATCCTTTAAGACGTAGAGCTGATTAGCCCTTCGTTGCATGTTTTCGATGTGGCTCATTATTTGCTCAAGAGCACCAGTACTTTTATAGTCGCTTGTGCTGAAAAGAGGGAAAACGCCAAAAAAGTCATGTGACAATCTTCGAGAAACTCTGAAACTACAGTTACTAAAACAAAATGTAATGTGATTGAATAAACTAGAATTGAACCAAATGTTTTAAGATTTACTTCTATTTGAAGCACATTTATAACTCTGAGATGTTGAAGGACCAATTCCCTGCACAATTGAAACGAACAAACCCCTGTCCCATCCCAGTCTGCCCAATCCTCCAAATCTCGTGTTCTCGATCCATACAAATATCTCAACTTACCTCTCCGTTTRGTGAGATCTTTGATTGAAATTTTGAACTCCTCTGATGCTCTGATTGAGCATATTGGATAATTGTTAGACGGTGAATGCCACTTTGGTTAAGGGTTCCTCAGCAACTTATATATATTAACTTGCTACACAGAATGTTCGAGATTTTTTTAGAATGATTTACTATGCAGATACCCCGGAGCAGGGGGGGTCGTAAGCCCCCAATAATTTTCACAGTGGATGTGTCAAGCAATATTTTCATAGATTCATTGAATAAAATTTGTTTTCGAAGCCCCTAAAAAGACTTGAATGCATTTCCTATTTCAAAAACACCAACACTTTGAACTTTTTCTTTCTCTCCCAACATCCCCGCGTTCTTTTCACCTATAAACGTACGGCAATCAATCCTTTATGGATTAAATGATGTAATTAGATGTCATTTAAATTGATTGCATGACGATATAGGTGTCAATTGCCATAACTCCCAGTATAATTGGTCTATATTCAACTTTTTTCTATTTTTATTGGGTTGATTGTATTCAACAAGGAATAGCTTGACACTAACATTTTTATTTCTCATTGACTCGAACGATTGTACTAAACCTAAGTAGATATTACAGTACTTAAAAATTTAATTAAAATACCTGATTTAATTAGACAGCAATTAGACAACAACTCAATTCATTTTGGATGTTTTTAATTTGTCTGATTTGTTTACTGGAATTATATAGTTTACCATTGTTTTCGCGGTAATTWTTTTTCATCTTGTTTCAAAGTTGATGAACTCAATACAATACTTCCAAAAAAACGTAAATTTGTTTCGATAATTATATAAAAATGTTCTCATTGGAAAGCAACTGCAATTCATATTACACTAGTCTAGCTYATGTAAATAAAAACTAACATTTAGTGAATACAAACAGAATAAAACTTTAAAACAGAAAAATAAATAAATAAATAAAAAATAAAACTTTAAAACTAAGAATCTGCAAGTGCCACTTTGTTGTGATTTGATCCGCACACTCTCGTTCTTTGTTTTTGTTGTTGTTGTGTTTGTTGTTGTTGTTGTTTTTTTGTTTGTTTGTTTTTTTTTTGTTTTTTTTTGCCTTCTTATTCATGTATATAGTATTATCCATGAGGCGTGGTGAGATTCTTGTGAAAAAATTACATTTTTTGTTTATTTCTTGTTAATTTGTTCTTCTTTAATTATTCATTTCTACTCATTTAATTAAAAAAAAGCAAAATATRCATTTCAGTTTAATTAAAGGTTGACATCCATGGGGTAAATACCAGCAGTGTTTCATCCTTGTGAACTATATTAGATTAAGGATCGTGTGATCTTTGGCTCATTTATATCATCGTTCGAAGCAGCCGTTTTACCGAACAAAGTAAGCCATATATGTCTTTATTCTCCTTTGTTTTTTGTCCTTCATTAATCTATTATCACAAGGTATTTTCGTATAACTGTTAACGACAGAAAATATTTTCATCTACTCGTATCATAAATTACTGTTATTTATAAAAAGTCGCCCACAAGCCACATTCCATAGTACATCCTAGCTGGAGTGGCCGTTTTCCTAAACAGAACGTGTACAAGTCGAGTCATGAACATATTTATAACATGCTTTCTTTGTTTCTTGATGCATCCCATTTTCTTAAGATGTTTTTTACGCCATCTTTTTTACGCCATCTTTCTTTCGTCACTCTACCTTCCTATCTTCTTCTTTCTCTTGTAAATTCCCTGATATGATCCCTTTTTCGAACCTTATAACGTRTTCTAGACTAGGCTGCGTTGCGTATCATCGCTATCACTCTTCCCGATCACAGGACTGTCAAAATTTTTGATTCCAAAATATATTTTTCTTGGATTCGGTTTTTGGATATTTTCCGTTTCAAGATAGACCCTTCTCTTCCTAGTGTTCCTTCAGCTTAGCTTTGACCCCTTTCTTTGACCTTCTTCTTTGCCTAGTTCTCCTCTTTCTTATATCTCTTATTATTTATCTTGTGTCGTCGAAAGCAATGGGTAGTCCTTCTAAAAGACTGGCAATGTTTCTTTGTCTCATTGTTCTTCATCAAGACTTCATACAGGCTCGTGCAAGTCACTATGAACACCTTGAGGTGTCTCCTTCCTCAAAGTTTAGGCCCCGTCGTTTTTCCTTTGGTAAGACTACTTTATTGATATACATTCCATCTTGGATTACGAGAACTAAATACTATTGCACTTATTTGTTTTTAGACATTCTTGAGGAAGACAGTCATGAATTTGATCAGTCCATACAGAAATTTGAAGCCCGACATGGTATGATACTTTCTAAAAAAAGTTGTTTCTGAAAAGGACCGAAAGAGTCACACTAAAAGATAGAAGGACATAATAATTGTATGAGCTAGCAATTGTTTTAATGGATTTTGTACGTCAATGGGATATGAATATCATTTGATGTTTTCTTGTAAAATGGCTGCCTATTTCTGTTCGCTGTTGTAGTTTAAATCTGTTTTACCCGGGTCTTATATATTAGTCTAAAAMAATTGTATCAAATGGCTACAATAGCAAGTTCGAGAAATGTGGCCTCTTCCTTGCAGGTTTGTACTCGACAGTGATTGACATATCTTAAATTTCTTATCTTAGGCATTTCACTCAGATCTGATATTGGACGACCACTTCAAAGGGGAAAACGTATGTTTCAAGTGTTGCTAATGTTGAGAGCTCTTGCAGCATTAAACGAAGGAAGCCATGCTTGCGTTACAGAGTATTCGAATTTTTTTCCATAGTATTTCAAGAAGATCTTCACTAAATTTCACTTCATTAATCTTCACCTCTCTTACGACACATAGCTTCCTTTTTATGATAGTGCCAGCCAACAAATGTGAATGATGTTATTGTAAATAGCTGTTATAGATTCACGAGTGACCATTATTTATTGGACTAWCAAAAGAATACATATCAAAACTTGAACTTTTTTRAWYYTTTTTCTCAATTTGTYAACCTCTGRGTATGGTTTGMCCAATCTATAKCAAATGCGTCTGTTGATCAAGAAAAWTGTTCAATGGAAAGTATCATTTTAAAGTTTTTCTCTGACAGACGTACGTGCGTGTTGTTGGTTCTACTTTCAGGGTTTTTTGGCCTTTTTGTGTTCATTGTAAGCATTGTTGTGACAGTCGCTGCTACAGCAGTGGAGACTATCTACGACATTGCTGGCTGTTGTGGACTTGGCTTTGACTATCTCTGTAATTATGAGGCGAACTTTAATAAAAAGAAGGCTGATTTGAAAACACAATCAGAGTTGGTCGATCAAAGGCTTGAGAACGGTAAAACATGTTATTCGCAACTGTCATGATCATCACACTAAACAATGAATGACTATGATGATCATCATGACTGTTGTGAGCTTTACATACTATGCATCCCAAACTCGCATTCGCATTAAAGGGACATGGTCCACCAACATCATAATATTAGCAAAAGCATTACTCTTTATTATCTCATTAATCTGATGGATGGAAACGGATTGCGAATGGATATTCGAAGTCACCTCATTTTCCACATATGAAAAATCTAAAACACGACCGCATTGAATGCTGGTGGATCATGTCCCTTTAATGCTATTTTCATCAGCAGGTATCATATAACCTTAATTGTCTTCCTCAGGTTGACAACGATTGATTTTAAAAACARGTTAGCTCCAATTAAAATCACGAGTGCTTGTATTGAATTTCCAGCTTTGAAAAAGCGAGATGACTTGGAATGCTTGTCCGAAGTTGTTAAAGCTACGTGGGGTAGTGTCAACGAATTGATCAAGCTTCAGGAAGATTTATTAGGGGACATTGATCCAAATTTCAGAAATACATTGCTAAAAAGAGAAAAGAAAGTGCAGGTATGAATGACAAACATTATAGATGGTAAATCTAACAAAAGTACAAAAGTAACAGCAGTTAGAACGCATGGTCTCATTGGATTATTGACACATATTATTGCAGGAAACTCTTGAAGAGACTGAAGAAGAGCTCAATGACAACGATATTTCAAACATGTTTCTAAAGATACCAAAAGAAGAACTAGCTCTTAAAATGACACTGGGTTGGACAGCAGCTGCCGTTCCAGGAATCGGATTAATCGGTAATAAGGCCTACAAATCCTACAAAATAAACAAGGTATGGAAAATATCAATTGTCAAAATTTAATTACAGTGCTACGCGCGTTACCGGTCACCCGAAAAGTTTTTTGATGAATTTTTGACAGAATTTTGACAGATTAGATATTCACTCGGCCAATCACGTACCGAGTTAGTGTTGGGGGCRGGGACTATAACTCAAGCTTTCGGACCACGGGAATCTGGAAAGTTTACTTTAAAATGGCGCGTATTTCAGCGAAAGTTGAATATGGACATGGACGATTTGCAACATTTTTATTAGAAGACGCCATAAATATTACATACGATGTTTTGATTCATAACATCAGAAAGAACTGTACTTTGTTATCTCATTTACCGTCGTTAAACATAC